TTCTTCAGCCCTTGCCTTCATTATGGTAGTAACTGGAGGGAATACGTGCTTCTTGGATGCCGGACCATGCTCAAAGTTGCTATGAAAATTAGCTTCCCACCGCGGGAGGCCTCATTTTTGCCTAATTGGAGTTCCTTTGCATCTTGTAAAGAACCGATGGTTTCGCCGCGACACGCAACGCATTATACGGCGCGCAACGTAACGCAACGCGCTACCCCGACCAGCCCCTTCATTGAATTTCCTGGTCCCGAATTGAAAACAAAGAAAATTTCGTGGCGTTCCCAACCCGCCTCTGGAAAGGCATTTTGAAAACCACATTAACCGCTAAAATCGGGGACCATACAGTAAAGCCAGATGACTCCTACCATTACTGCCATTATCAAGGAGTCAGACAGACCACAAAAACGGCCCAAAAAGCCGGATAAAAACTTTTGAAAAACGCTTCGAACTTTGCTAGGACAGACACAGACCCAAATAATGACCGCAACGACGATTATCTTGGCCTGTCTCTCTCTATAATTACTAAGCCAATCATAATTTAGCAGAAAACTGGCGGTGGAACTTTCAAAAGTAGAGGGCATCGCCGTGCTAAAAAGAAAAAATTTCCGAACATCCGATGGTAGTATGACGGAAGTGAAAAAGAATTAGAGAACAATAGCGGATTAGCCTTAGGACTGGAAGTTGATTTCAGAGATCTGGTATGCGCTGTCGGAGATTTGGAACTCACAATTAAAAAAATCGCGTAAAATTGAAGATGCCAAGCGTACCGGATTCAAAAAATCGTTTGAAATTTCAGGTTCCAAACCATTCCACTGTTGCACTATTCCACACATCTTGGGGCTTTGCGCACAGCTCCGTGAAACGCTCTTACCCGCGGCCGTGCTGGACAGGGAAGTGAAAACGCTCGAACAAAATCAATTTTTTTTAGTTCGAAAGTGTAACATCGTTAAGCTGCAAATCATTTTATTTTCTCTTGGTGATTCAACAATTTCAGGCGCGGGTTATCCGCTTATATAGCCTTCACAAGGCCCGAACAAGCCGACGCCGTGGTTTTCTGAAAGGGTATCATGAAGAGTGAGAAGGAGAGAGATAAAATGAGAGAGAGAGTGAAAGAGAGGGGGAGAGAGTGAGAGAAAGTGAGCGAGAGAGAGAGAGAGAGAGAGAGAGAGAGTGGGAAAGCCGCTAAAATCCAACCCACCGTTCGAACTTCGCATAGCGCATTTCGAAGCGTGTGGTCACAAAGATGATCGACCCATGCCCCGTTTTTCGACAATATCTAAAAAAAGAATCATCGATTTCCCATAAAAACAATAGCTTCCAAGCCCCAAAGCCTGTCTAAAACACCCACAAATAAGCAGTTCTCGCCCGCGCTCATCTCACTCGGCTCGGTGGATCCCCAGTTGCTAAAACCACAGCCATGTAAAAGACGGAGAGTAAATACTTACACATAGCTACTGTTGACGCCCTGAACATTACGGAGCGTACCGTCGCGGAGCTTTTCGACTCCAATCCAGACTTGCTGAAGATGCAATTGACTTAAAGGTGGTAAACTTAAACCTGACGCCAATAACCGCTTGCTAAATCGGGTGGATAGTTGATTGACTCTTTGTATAGTCCTTTTTCATGCATCATTTCTAAACACACATTAACTTATATATATATATATATATATATATATATATATATATATATATATATATATATATATATATATATATATATATATATATATATATATATATATATATATATATATCAGGTTGGATAATAAGTTCTGTCACAATTTTTTGAAATCGCTCGTTAAAATCGCAGATGTTTCCAATTCTGGAGTATGAGGTATGGATTGATAGGTCTCACAACACTCTATTCTGGGAGGACCCTCAATTGACGGAAAAATTGAGCGACGTCGAGATACAGGCCCGATAAGTTTTCCGCAAAAACGTACCAAACCTATTTTGCAAGCTATCTCTGCATAGAGCAATTTGCATGCGATACCTTCAACACCAATCGATAGCTTTCGAGGAGTAGATATCGATAGTTGTTGAGATCATCCAAATCGGACATCGGATGGCCGAGATATGGTCCCGTGAAATTTGGCCCGTTTCTTAGAACTTTTCTCGAAATCCCATACATTTGATCAACCGGAGCCAAAACTGGCCGCTTGATTTTTGAAAGAACCGGGAGCATTTTGACCAAATGTATGGGATTTCGACAAAAGTTCTAAGAAATGGGCCAAATTTCAAGGGCTCGTATCTCGGCCATCCAATGTCCAATTTTGATGATCTCAACACCTATCGATATCTACTCCTCGAAAGCTATCGATTGGTGTTAAAGGTATCGCATGCAAATTGCTCTATGCAGAGATAGCTTGCAAAATAGGTTTGGTACGTTTTTGCGGAAAACTTATCGAAGCTCTATCTCGGCGACTCGCAATCTTTGGCTGCGAGGAGGGTCTACCCAAGGTAGAGCTTGCAGAGACCTATCAAACCATATATCACACTATTAATTTGCGCACGTCTGCAGCTTTAACAAGCGATTCCAAAAAATTGTGACAGAACTTATTATCCAACCTGATATATCTCACTGTCCCATTGATCTCTTTCTCTATCTCGCTCTCCCTCTCTCGTTCTCTCGCGCCCTCGCAATCTCCCCCTTGCTCTCTCTCTTTCACGCACTCTCTATCTCTCACAATCTCCCGCTGTCTCCATCCCTACCTCCTTACTTGTCAGGGCCTCATTCTGCGCAGCACATCGAATCACACCAAGATCACCACCCTTTGCATCTTTTCCGCAAAGCTTCCGGCTGTCCGCCCAGGTGGCGTTGGCCCGGATGAACTAACACTCCAAAAATCAACCGCAAAATCCCAGTTTCTTACCTTGTAGCACGACCCAGCAACATCAGTATACCCTGGAACTTGGTCGCAAGAGGTGGGAAGCTAAAAGCTGTTTGTGGGCCAAGCGCATTGTGTGCCGCGTTAGCGTGAAAACCTTGCTCAATTCCGTTCACATTGTCGCAAAATATGATACGTCATTTTATCATCCAGTAAATTTTGCCTACCAGGTTTTTCGGAGCACACCCCTTGCGTTGCTTGTAGATTACTGAAAAAATTTTGATTAACCGGAAGCGAAAATTTAACTCACGAGCATCAACGTCCTGGGCCAAGTAGCAAAAGACAAGCAAAAAGAAAGCGCTACGGTAAATGGGTGGCATTTTGGTGTCAAGAGACCATCCGAAATCAGAGCGGCTTTTAAAGCCAGACGAAGATGATCAGGATTCGGTGAAGGCTCGATATCCGGTCGGAAGTTTGGCACCGGAAGTAACAAAAAGTGTAGATATGAGCACAACGCACTTCCAAAAATTTTGGTAATGGACCGTTAGCGGGGAAGCCAATATTATTTTTTGCGTTTTTTTTGACAGGTACATAAATTTAAATCCAAATTAGCATGCAACCACTGACAGGAAGAGGCTGGTTCCCAAAAATTCATTATTCACTCGAACCCCTCCCCCAAGTCAGGTTGGTTTTGAAGTAGACTTTTTGAAGGTTTTCCTATTCATAGTCACCAGAGTTGAAAAGCCGCTTCGCGACTTTTCAACCCTGGACCCGTCTAAATCCCATAATATTCTTCACTTTGCATAATTCGCCCAAACTGCGATGAGAAACACTGAGAAGTAGACCTCCCGAACCCCCCCCCGCCCTTTACCCCCCTACTTTGGGGGGTTGGAGGGGGGTTGGGTAGGGGGGTTTTGGGGGGTTGGGAAGGGGGGTTGTGGGGGTTGGGCAGGGGGGTTTTGGGGGGTTGGTGGGGGGTAGGGACGGGGGTTTTGGGGGGTTTTTTGGGGGGTTTTGGGGGGTTGGGAGGGGGGTTCGATACATAAACTATAAGTTAACTACACTTATTATACTTCTGTTTTTGCTTACTATTAGCTGTAGCAAGTATTGAACAACCATTACGACACGAAAAAAGTGGGAAACTGGTTAGTTTTGTCGGTTTTGCTTGTTGCCAATGGATAACAATTGATTAAACTAATTTTTTTGTTGGTTTCTACCACATAATCTATTTAAAAAGTGTAAACTAGCTTTCCTATATACAATACCTGCGATTTGACAACTTTTTAGACACCAAATCTTCCTGAAAGCAAACTTTTTGACAGAATTTTCATTTCCAGGCTAAAGGCTGGCAAAGCGCTGCAATTTTGGGCAAAACGGTTTCCCAATGAGTTATTTGTGTAGGGCATAGCATTACAATCAATTAATGGTGTCATTCCGAAAATAAAAACAAGCCACAATCTCAAATAAAGCAAATAAAGCAATTCACCGGGTAAAAATCCGGGTCGTAGTGTTTTAAAAAAGAGTTCGACAAAAAAATGACTGTCCTCTAGGCTTGTCACACCCCCCAGAACCGAATACCCAAAAAGCAAAAAGTTTTCCCCGCGGCCGGGAATCGAACCCCCGACCCTCTGCTTAATACACTATAGGGGGGTTGGGAGGGGGGTTTTGGGGGGCTGCGTGGGGGGTGTTGGGGGGTTGGGAGGGGGGTTGGGTAGGGGGGTTTTGGGGGGTTGGAGGGGGGTTGGGAGGGGGGTTTTTTGGGGGGTAAATGGGGGTAAAGGGGGGTATATGGGGGGGGGTTCGGGAGGTCTACTGAGAAGTGCTCGCTCTCTCCCATTAAATAGGCTATCGCCACTTCCGGCGTATGGTAATTATTTCCTAACAAAGAGGGCGCCCGATTTTTCAACAAAAACTTAATTTTAACCTCGAAAATAGCATAAATTTCAAAATCTGGTATGCGTGCAGTCATCTCGGTGCCATTACGCACCTAATGACGTATCATACGTAGCTGAAAACCCTTCCCCTCATGAGTTATCTTCCGGACACGGTGACGGAAGTTGCATGCAAATGCACACTGGCACACAAACACTATTTTTTTATATATAGTAGGATATGCAAATTAGCCGTTATTTAAATTTAAATTTTTAAATTTATACTTCAGCACCTTGGGATGCGATCGCAAGACCGGAACATGAGAAAGCCGACGCTGCGCCATCGGGAGGATCGCCGGGAGATTCGACGGGAGGGCCGACGGGAGGAGCAGCAAGAAGGAGAAGAGCCCTCCACCCCGATGTCGCCCCTCAATCGTGGGCTCGTCAACCCGTTCCGGTACAAGGACCACGAGCTGCCGGTGAGGGTGAGTATCTATTTGGATTGAACAGCTTGAAATCGTCCCTCACTAAACTGACGTGCGCCAAAAGCTAGAATGTCAACAGTAAAAATACCGACAAGCAAAATAGGTAACTCGTCAAGCAGAACCTCTTAAATCCATGCTTTTACCGGCTAAATTCTACTTTACGGTATGTTCTCAAAATGTCGAGTTTTCGACTGGAATCGATCCAGCTCGATGAGTTTGTGCGTTTCCAGTTGAAAAAACTATTGGGAAACGCTTCTGGACAAAGTTATAGGCTTTTTAAATGAACATCAAAGTTGATGAAAATCGTCGCTTTTTTTCAGGGGTTTGCCGGTGAACACCCAGTTTGAGCCTAAAAATAAGGCTTCGTGCCACCCGGGGCCTAGTCGCTTCGGATGGGTGCGAGCTCGTACAGGGTTTCGAAATGGGGGCGCCAAGGCCGGCGAAGCGGCCGGGGGCGCCCCCATTTCGAAAGAGTGGAGCGGCAGCCCATCCGAAGCGACGGCCCGCGTTGCCTGACAATGTTGGAGGCCACAACTAACTGTTATTTATCTATTCTATTCTATGCTTAAAATACTAGTTTTAAAAATTATAAATGCTTTTAGATAAGTACGTAAGCGCTGGCAGAGAGCGCACGCGTTAGAATGCGGGGATAGGAGTGTTGCGTAGCCTACAGTCCTTGGCAAAACGATCTTTGAAACGTCATAACTTTCTTATTTTAAATTTCCCAATTGTTTTTTCAACTGGAAACGCTTTATCTCATCGAGCTTTATCGTTTCCTGTTCAAAAATTGAGGTTTTGTGCACATACCGTAAAGTATACTCGCCATTTTCAAAAGCTTATAACTTTGTCCAGGAGCGTTTCCCAATCGTTTTTTCAACTGGAAACGCACAAACTCATCGAGCTGGATAGATTCCAGTCGAAAAATCGACATTTTGAGAACATACCGTAAAGTAGAATTTTCCCCTTTTACCATTTCCGTTTTTAACACGTTCCAGAAGCCCGGCCCCACCAACGATCCGCCTCCTCCCAAGAAGACGACCACCCCGCCGATCCCGCCAGCCCCTTCCACTCCAGCGCCTCCTGCCGACGACCCGGAACCGCCTCGCCTCCAGAAGTCGGTGGAAGAGACGATCCGCCTCGACCGATGGTTCCTCACCCGCTTCTCGATCGATAACCCGTATGAGGGGTTGCAGCAAGAGTTCACCTCCCTCCAACGGGTCAGCTTCGTCTCGTGGTTTTGAACGTTAATTTTGAGGTTCAGGACCCGTGGATGGAGGACACGGTCGACGACAGCCCCTTCTTGGAGCAACAGATTGGCGACGAGAACGTCAAGCAGTACAAGGTATGGGCGTAGGCCTGGGTGTGGGCGTGGCTTAGCTTTGCTTTCGGCTTAGCTTAGGCTTAGCTCAAGTTTAGCTTAGACTTGGCTTAGGCTCAGATTAGGCTTAGCTTAGGCGTAGCCTAGGCTTAGCTTAGGTTTAGCATGGGCCGAGCTTAGCTTAGCGCAGGCTTAACTTTGGCTGAGCTTAGGCTTAGCGTAGAATCAGCTGAGACAGAGGCTTTGCATGGGCTTAGGCTTAGCTTTGTCCTAGGATAACGCTGAAGCTTAGGTTGGGGCTTAGCTTAGGCTTAAATTTGGCTCGACGTTGGCTTAACTAAAGCGTAGATTAGGTTTGACTGTTTCTCCGATCCTCTTGAACTTGACGCTTTCATTTTAGTGCTACGGCCAGTACGTCCCGAGCATCTACCGTACTCCCGGCTTCATCGCTTGCGAGGGCCCGAACGGGAAGTCCGTGTTCGACTTTTGGATGCTCATCTACCGCGTAGGCCACGATTTGGCCACGTCGAAAGGACAATTCAGGAGAAAATCGAGCGCATCTTCAGCGTCAACTTCCCGTTCGAAGAGCGGCTTCACCACGACGGTGACCCGGTAGTATGGAACGAACCCTTTGGATACGCCTAATATTCATCTACAGGACAAGCCGGTGGTGAAGGAGACGGTGCAGTACTGGCCGATGGTCCCTGGAGCTGTCTTCTATTTCATGCCCTTCAAGATTACCTGCATCACCAGCGTCCTCAAGGTATCGCTAACTGCTTGAACTTAACGTCTCCTGTCTAGTACGCGCCGAACGTGCTGTCGCACGACAACTCGAACGTCGTCTACCGGGTCTCGCGGCTGATGGTCGAGATGGACAACCCGATGAAGATGACCACCGAGGGGATGTCGGAGGAAGAGCCCAATGACTCCTCTTGGCACGAAGAGCTGGCCCCGCAGAATAACCCGAACGGGTGTGTAATTTGGAGCGTAGTGGAATTCAGCTCTTTTGCAGTGAAAAACACGAGGTGACCCACGTGTGCTACCTGCGATGGCCGGACGGACGGGTGCCAATGCCGTGGCCACAGGGGAGAGATACGTACAAGGATGCTGGATGTCGACTTGTGGATATCATGCTGGAGGTACCGAATTTGCGGCTCTTCTCTCTCTCTCTCTCTCTCTCGCTCTCCCTCGCTCTCTTTCACTCGTTAACCCGCTCTCTCGTTCACTCGCTCTGCACCTGCACGCGCCATCGATCTTCCAGAAACTGTTTTACCCTTCAGGAGCTCTCCTCCGAGTCCGAAACCCCGATCGTCATCCACTGCCACGCGGGCATCGGCCGTACCGGGGTGGCCATTGCCCTTCTCATGGCCCTCGAGCAGTTCCACGAGACCAAGGGCACCAACATCAAGGTATCGTGGTTCATTTTCATCAAGCGCCGGTAATCAGTGGCTTTGCGTACTTTTGCCGTTTCAGGGCCTCGTCACCTATCTGCGCTGCTACCGCCCGCGTTCCGTGATGAACCACTGGCAGTACGCGTACATCAACGTGCTCTTCGCGCAGAAGGTCGGAATTGAGGGTAGATGAGGTTTTATTGGAATTTTCTAGCTCCTTCGCGCTGGCCACATCTCGGAGACGATTGGCGGGCACAAGTCGCAAGATCTCTTGGACAAGGTCTGGGACCAGATGGAGGCCATCATCGAGTCGGTAGTTTTAATTCGTATTTTTTATTGGAGTTCACACTGTACGCCTCGAGCACGTGCCGCCACGTTGCGTGCATTCTACGCAGTCGCTTGATGTCCCTCTCTCCCCATATTTTGCTCTTTCTATCTCTCGCTCTTTCGCCGTCTCCCCCTCTCTCCTTCGCACTTATTCGCTCTCACGCCATCTATCGTTCTCTCTCTTCCTTGCTCTCTCCCTAGCTCTCTCACTCTCTCGCGCTCTCTCTCTCTCTCTCTCTCTCTCTCTCTCTCTCTCTCTCTCTTTCTCTCTCTGTCTCACTCTTTCTCTCTCCCTCCCTCGTGCTCTCTCGCTAGAAATAACTATCTCCGGTTATATCTCATGCTCTGACGCTCTCTCTTGCTCCCCGCGAAAAATACGCTACGCAACACGGAAATTCGTGTTTTAATGCGGTCGTTTGAGTTTCATTTTTTTCAGTCGCGTCAACGCCAAGTACGACAGCTTCCTGACCTACTTCTACGAGATCGGCGTCAAGGTGTAGATGGGGAGGATATGGCGACTCCCGCAGCCGAACCGACCATTAACATTAAAACTTAAGCTCCCTTTCACTTGTATTTGTTTGTGCCATTTTCGCAATCACCTAGTTTCCAGGATTTTCTTCTCGTTCTATTGTCCTTATATCGCATTGTGGTGTGACAAATTGTGATGAATATACGGTGCTCGTGGTGGTGTGTGAGAATAAATGGTGGTTTTCCGAATTTGACGGCAAATGAATCAGTATCTGGAGCATTAAAAACATTAGCTTACCTAACTTCAATAGCTTATCAATGTAATGGTGGCTCATATCTTAGTTTATGCGGTTTTTACCGTCATGAAGGTTTCATCGACAATCCCATAAGAAATCGGATACCCTTACATGGTGCTATACCCTAGCAACCCCACCGGTGGTTGCACGGGTTGATAGCAAATTATTCAAGAAGTAAGCCTGAAATGTGATACTGGAACGCCTGGAATATCTAAGGGAACATTACCAGGTTCCCTGCCCTCTCTCCCTCTATCTCGCGCTCACTCCTCTCTCTCTATCATTCTGTCTCTCTAACATTCTGTCTATCTCACTCTCCTTGCCATCGCCCTATCGACCTCTCTAAAGGAATAAATACTCTACAAATAAAATTATCCGATTTTTGTTCTATTCTAATAGTAATTTCCGTTTTTACCGATTATCTGTTTGCTTTGCTCATTTATGGACTGGCCCAGGCTTAGAAGAGGTGGCCAATATTTTGGGCCCAGGTACTCGATGGCCCCCGCCGGCGTTTGTAAGCAAAAGGGCAAATTCCTGGCCCGTAGTGGGCCAGGAATCACGTGGCACATTGCCAAATTGGGTGCCCCCTTTCTATGGGTTGGGTAACCCAGATCGGAGTCATGGGGTTTTTTGTCTGGGTTTCCGGAAATGGCTTGGTGAGGGCGAGATACCTCACTGGACACCTAAAAACTTAAGTAGAGGCTCTACGAGTGAATTTTTTTGGCCAGGCGCCACAGGGAATTTCCGAATCTGTTAACGTAAAAAAATAGGGGGGTTTTTTCGATTTGAAATTCCGTAAAAAAAGTAAGGTGAATTAAAATTTGATGTATCGTAGTTTAACAGATTTTAACGGCTTTGATCCGTTTAACCCAACTTTAGGGTATCTAAACCTTATTAACAAAGCTTGAAACCTAGGATCTCAAAAGTACCTCTTTTTCAACCCCAGATACCACCCCCCTCCCCCCGGCCAAACCCACCATTTTTTCTAATCTTGGCATGTTGACAAGAAAAGTGCAGCGGGTGTGTCATTCCGGGGGAGAAGCACGTGGCCCTCTATGGGCCCTGGTGGGCCCCCTGTCTATCTGCTGGCTGGTCTGTCCGTCTGAAGGGCCCTTGTGACCCATTCCCACGAGACTTCAACTCACCCACCCCGGACCCCGAGTCGCTAAGCCTTTTTTGACGGGGTGGCGTGGTGCATAGGGGTTTCAAGGTGCCTAGGTGTATCCCTTTGAGCCCTTCTGCCACTTCGCGTAGAATTTAATACATCACTTATTAGGAAATTTTTACTGAAAAAAATCAATGAATTTTTGCGGGCACCCCCGAATCTCAAAAATGACAATTCTGATGTCCTCGATGTTTAGTTTGAAGCTGTGACGCTTTTCCTTTTTATTTTCATGGCCTTTTTGCGTTATTCAATCGCAAAGTAATTTTTAAGAGAGCTTTGACCGTTTTACGGAGCTTGCAATCTCAAAACCCATTTCAAAAACCGAAACAGGATTCTCAAAAATTTCAAGCCCAAATTTTTTCAAAAATTCGGCTTTGACCTACCTACAGCTTATGTTCCAAGTGATCTTTCTCATCAGTTCTTTGACCGGAACATCCCTGTAATTCGAGACGTTTGCCGGACAGCTTGTCATTTCAGGTTCCCTTTCCTCAAAATCGCTGCCCCTCTGTCCGTTCGTTCGTTTTCGCAGCTTCCCCTCATCTTGCAAAAACGTCTTTTCGCTCTTTTTCTCGGCCATAAATTTCTTCACAATTTTTCCAATTTCCCATAACGGCATCGGACGCATAAATTTGCCAAAAATAGCAAACGAAACGATGTGATTTTTGAGACAATTTATGGCACACCCGGATTTTATGCTATATTCCATTTCCTTTTTCGAATCAAAAAAACACCCCGGGGGTTCGCAGTTTCGGACATGGCGCGTCCACTCAGGCCCCAAGGGGCCACATGGCCCATCAAAAAAAGCTGTTTCACCCCCGGCGAGCCTGGCGCAATCTACTCCCTTTATGGGCAATCCAAGCCGAACAAAATGGGGGAATACATGTGACCAAAACGTACTTAATTTTTGGACTTTTATGGGTCGTAGTGACCTAAGTTACTGGCTTAAAATACGAGCTCAAAAAGTTTTTTCTTGTCTAGCTCTAAAAGGCGCAGCGCATTTTAAAATATGGCAAAGAACATCTAATTTTTTTAAATGTATCGAATGCTAAAACGCGCACCAACGTTTTGGTGTCTGGCCTTTGAAAAAACTAGTCAAGAAAAGAGAGTTTCTGCTGAAAGAAACGGGTCTCTAAAATTTGCTGGTTCGTCCCGGGCCGGCCAGCAGCACCCCTGCTGACATTGTTTCGCCCAGGTCACTCGCCCGGAAACGGGAACTCGTTTCCAAGGGAGTCGCGAGCTCCTGGAGATTTTGGACCAAAACATGATTTTTCAGGTTTTCTTACCACCGCTCAACGATTGATCGGTTTATTTAGGTTTTTGGCTTCAAAAATTGGCGTTTTTAAAGGGTTAGACCGCTCGGGACTACAGCCACGCGCTTCTCCAAATACCTATCATCGCAATTACGCGTTTTATTTTACTAATTTTATTGCCAGTAATTTTCTTGGAGTTATAGTCCCGCAGCACAGCCGCTACTTGGCACACCCATAATCGTCTTTTAACTAGATTATTAAAATATCAAAATCCTACCAGACCATCATTTTCGTTACGTATCGCGGTTACATCAAAATCAGTAAATTTTTCTACCCTTTAACTCCAAATTTGAAGTTTACAGCGAGGAAGCGTAGTTGGCGTGACCTAGTGAAGCGTAGGGGTCGAATCTGGCGCTTCTTACAACCCAACTAGTTTTTTTTGAGGAATACACACTTCTTATTTCGAAAAACTTCTCAAAAATCATCAAAAACAACTTTTGTTTGTGTACAGCCGCCACCAACACCTCCAGGCACAATTTTGACGCCCTCCCTCACATCTGGTCAAATCACAAAAACCGGAGGGGTGGTTGCTTGTGGTGGAGGGGTCGAGGGGTGAAAAAATATTGGACCACAGACACCCGGTGGACAGAACAGAGGAAAAAGGAAGGTTAACAGCTGTTCGAAGCCCGGGCTGAACGGCTTGAGACCTTTATTTTCGGATCAAAGAGCGCACCGGAACGCCATGCGGGAGGGGCTGTTTTCCGGTGCGTTTGTTTGGGGAAGCTGGGATTTCACAGGGAAGCTTTGAGACGGGCTTGGACGGCCTGGGTTGCGAAATAGGAGTTAGAGCAATTTTTAACAATTTACTAATGCTTCTCGAGGTGTTTTTCTCTATCTTTACAGCTTGCATAATTTCTCGTTGCCCCACGCTCTCTTTCTCTCTTTCTTCTCTCTCGCTCTAGCTTTCGATCTCTCGTCGACACACACACTATCTCACTCATCCGCTCAGTCGCGCGTTCTCTTGCACTTGTTTCGATCTCTAAATACTATCTCTCCAAACCTAGAACTCTCGCTAAATCGCTCTCTCATCCTCTATAGCTTCTGACATTTCCCCGAGCCCCCCTCCCTCCTCTCTCTCTCTCTCTGCCTCCCCCCCCCCCCCCCCCCCCCCCTCTCCCCCCCTCTCCCTCCATGCCCCTTACTATCTTTTTTTTCAAATTGTCTGCTAATTTCATGGTTCTCTTTCTCACTAACTCTTCCTCGCACTATCTCTCGCTTTCTCTCGCTCTCTATCGCTCTCACTGATTCTGTCGCACTTTCCGACCTCGAATCCCTGAGAATCTTTGCCGGCACCATCCCTTTAAAACTCCAGCCTTGGGACTCAATTCGCCGAAATCGACTACAAACCCTCACCCACATCACCGGATCTGTTTTTGCCGGCAGTGACCGCAGTGATTTTGGTTTTTCGCTTGGTTTGCCTTCCCGAATTCTTCCAAATTTGGTTGCAGCGGAGGCGGCGATCCCGTGACCCTTTAGTGGGCCATGGCCTCCTCCCAGTTCTCCGGAATCCATCCACCGAACGGACCCCTCCTTCCCCATTCCCCTGATTGGCCTCCGTTTTCTTCGACAAAAAGTAGGGATTCTACCATCCTTTTTTGGGAAAAGGTCTTATGGCACATCTTACTCTTTCTCTCTCCCTCTCTCTCCCTCTCTCTCTCTCTGTCGTTCTATGACTATCTATAGTGATTTCTCGTTACTTTCGAGTAAGTTGATTTCACTTTTAAGTCACCGTAAAAGAAACTATGTATTTTGTACCTTTTTAGCTGATTTTTTACGTAACATTTTTTTCTTCTTTTTTTACCGTAGGTATCGTTTTCTCTTTCTTTATACAAATCTGAGAAAGTTATCCCCACCCTCCCCCACAAAGGCACTTTGAATACCCTTTCCCGGGATTTTCGGCTTATTCCGGCTCATCGGCCGTGGCATCGAATAACGGCTGGAGAGCCCCCTTGGTGGGGAGCTAGATGCTGAGAAGTCTCGATTGTACACTTTGCAAAGCTTTTTGCATACAAAAAAAATTTTTGTGTGTGTGTGTGTGTGTGTGTTTTTTTTTTTTTTTTTTTTTTTTTTTTTTTTTTTTTTTTTTTTTTTTTTTTTTGATATCTAAAAAACATCCTACGGTTTTTCAAGTTCGCGGAGCTGTTACCTTCGGAAAAAAGCCTTAACTTTTACTGCAAGCCAAAGGAAACAAAACTTTACTGGTGTAACGGATTCATTTCTTCTCTGGTACTTTAATGACTTAATTCTATGGACCTTTATCA